GGATGTAGCCCCTTATTGAATTCATCATTTTTCATGCCATGCACTTAGTTTTGTTGGGCCTTGACAAACACAAATGGAAACTCTCTATGCTCAGACACGAAAAGCCATCTTTTCCCACTCTTTGATGATATGCCCACATTCCCACACACAACCTCACATGACTCGCACACGCTAGGGCAATGTGCAATGTGGTACTCTGGGCTATTGTTGCTAATCCGTTCGATCTTGAACCAATTTCTCATAGTTGAGGAACCAGGGTGTCTCGGTTGTCCACCAATTGTAACGTACCTTCTCGTGCTCGACAAAGATGATCCTTTTGATTCTTGAACCTGCCAAACTACAGGAATATCCGAGAATTTGATGTTCACATCTATTGACTCGAGGATAGTTCTTGCCCCAGATGAAGATGGGATATCCACTCCGAGAAGCATCCTCCCAATGGATGGCTATTTGGGGAGTGAGACAATTCTTCCTTCCATTGAAGCTGATGCTGGAGAGAACGATACAGGCGTGCCAAAGTGCATTTCGGAACCATGTTGCCTCACAACTGATGAGTGAGACCTCTCTCTTCTATCGAGTGACACACTGCCTCCACCACCTCGGATGGCTGAGACAATGTAGTAGGGTTGTCATGCTTTGATCTCATTGCCATCTGTATCCAACACTGATTGGTGATGAGACTCGTGAGATGATGCTATGGCCTCAGTTTGGATAACTGATGATAGCACAATCAAGAGAGATGAAATCAAGAACGTAGTCCGAATAGCCGGAGTGAAGATATTGTTTGGTACCTCACTGGGCTACTAGGAGGTTATCTGAGAGTTATTGAGATTTGAGAGAGGAAGAGAGGAACCCTCCCTTTTATAGCTAGGTTGTTTTCTTTTGTCACAACAATTCGTTGAATTCCCTCCTAAACAATGGAATTTTTATAGGAGAAAGTGTTAAGTGATACTAAAATCTCAATTATATAACACACGTGCTTTTATTTTAGCTTTGGTTGAATTTATCCAATTCTAATATATGAGATATTCATGTACCACAAAACAAGTGGCATTATCATTTAGTAGGATGCAGTCAATATGAATTCCTTGTAAAAGGGGGGTGATGAAAAAAAACTAATATAGGACAAGTGCGATAAATGCGTAGATTGATGAACCAACTTGTTGCAAAGAGAGCACTTGTTATACCAGTTAAAATAAGACTCATCATTTTCTAGATACAAAACTAGAGATGGACAAGACTGAAAAAAAAGTGATTAATCCTCATTTTCCAAGCTCACATTTGTTGTGATCGTAGTTTTTGGACAATCTAGATAATCCTCAATAAAATGCAAAAAGTGTTAGCATATGCAATAAATTCAAGGCATCATATCAACTAACATTTATTTCAAGTTTTGGCATGTTCTCATTTTATTGGGGTTTGCATGTCATATGGTTGAAGAAATTGTTTTGTCCCATTAGAGATGGTAGTTGAACAATGCATTATAGGACCATTTTAATTCGATTCATCTAGATTAAATAATACAACAACGAAGGCTTTTATTTAGGATTAGTATTGTTAAGTGAAATTGAAACAATAGTAACACATAAGAGTAGATATTTTTTTTTTATATTTTAAACTTTTAGATAATTAAAAAGTATTTTTTATACACTATTTATAATAATTTTTATAAAACAAATATAATAATAATAATTTATTTAAGCTATTTAATAGTCTAATCTCTATTAAATAATGGTAGTTTATTCTCCAATAATTATTGGGAATTTATAGCAAAAATACATAATTATTGAAAATAAATTTATAATGAAAATACAACAAATAATTACTGAAAATACAATACATAAAATAATTACAAATATACAATAAATACTAAAAATATTTGAAATTTATCAATAAATAGTGTAATCTCCCATAATGCTTTAAATTCTAACAAATATTAATCAATAAATTATAATGAAATTACATAATTACTGAAAATCGATTTATAACAAAAATACAATAAATCCAATGAGTACAATAAATTAAATTTCAAAAAGCTAAATGAGAATASTTTAATCTCTAATAATTATTGAAAATTTACTGTTAAATAATAAAATGAAAATAGATTTATACATAACTATTGTAAATATATTTATCAAACAAACACAATATATAATTGTTGAAAATATAAAAAATATTAATTTTTGTATATATAAATATATAATAGATATAGATAAAGATTTTAAAACTATTATTAATAAATATTCATTTTTTCTGAAAATTATTTTCTAGAATTATTAATTGACATAAGTGAAGTAATTATTTTATTATTAGTATAATAACAATTTTAATTATTATTATATTTTTTAATATTTAATAAAAATATATGTTTTGAAAATTATTACTTATTTTTTTTGTTATTTGGAAGCTTCAATACCTTTAAATTATTTAATGTATTTTTTTCTTATTTAAAATATGATTTAGTTATTAAATTTCTTGATATTTAAAATCATTAACAGTTATTTATTTATTTATTTAAATATCTTGGTCACTGAAACTTTTAAAATATGAATTATTTAGCTAATCAAATAATCCGTAAAATATAAATAATTAGTATTTATAAAATTAATTGTTGTAAAATTATTAATATATTGGTATTAATTTTGTAAAGTATAAAATGATTATTGTTTCGAATATTATGAAATCTATTATAATTATTTTTATATTTTTAAATTTATGACATGATTTCGTTATTTTAATTATAAAAAATTTATTTATGTTTAATATTTCGTTATTTAAATATTTAAAATATTTAAAATGTTTGTTATTTAAATTTTATTTATTTTAAAGTTGTTACATAATATTAAATATATTGTTATATAATATTTTAGCTACTTTTAACAWTTTTAYTCAAAATATTTAGTTATTGATATATTTRTTTTTTATTTTTATTATTTAAATAACATTTCAAWAATTTTTTAAATGTTTTAAATATTATTTATTTACTAAATTTAATAATCCMTAAAATTATAAWTTATATTKTTATTMCACAATTTCGTTATGAATTTCATATAAATATAAAATTATTAATAAACYACATATTATTAAATCTATTATAATTATGTTTTGTGTTTTTAATAAATATTTTAAAGTTATTTAMATAGTTTTGTTATAACATTTGAAAAATTCTTATATTTTTTAATTCAAACTTTCTTTATATAGGTATTAATATGAAAGTGGGAGGGAGGATAAATACGGATTAAATATAATATACGAGAGAGTAATGGGTGTGTTTTTTTGGAGAAACAATTTATTAAAACAATGTCTTTTTTTTTACAAGAAAGTAGAGAATAGAATAGAAGGGAATTGGAGTGGGACTCTAGTAAAGGGGATAATGATGCCACATGGCTAGACATTAAAAAAGCAACTCTTTGTTTCTTTATCTATTGGTTATTTGTAAAAATGACATGAAATAGAATAAAATCTAAAATTTAAAAAGAGGAGAAAAAAGACAAATTTCCTTATATAAATTAGGTTTGAATTGTTTAAACTAGACCTCCAATTTGAGGGGGAGGGGGGAGGGGTGGAGAAGATTGAGGTATGAGTCCATTGAAAAATTCACAAATATGAGCTAAACTAGACCCTTAGTTTTGCAACAAGTTTTGGCTACATATAAGGGTAAGACCCATGATTCATACTCATACCACAAAAAAAGCGGTTTGTCCCTCTAGTTAATTATTCAATAAAACCATGTCCCACAGGTTTCTTTTTTTTAGYAGGTCCAAATTAATYTACCAATATTGCATTGCAATGAACAAAATAATAAAATAGAAATAAATAAATAAAAGTCAAAGAAGAGTCTCTCGTTCATTCATTCCTTATTTTTCAAAAATACTTGATCAATTTTTGAAAAGAAAATATCCCAAAAAAAACACAAAAGCAAACAAAATTGTGTGTTGCTATGAATCATAGTGCATTTTAGAGAGAATATAGCCCCTTATTGAATTCATCATTTTCCATGCAATGCACTTAGCTTTGCCTAGCCTTGACAAACACAAATGGGAACTCTCTATGCTTAGACACGGAAAGCCATCTTTTCCCACTCTCTGATGATATGCCCACATTCCCACACACAACCTCACATGACTCNACAAATGGGAACTCTCTATGCTTAGACACGGAAAGCCATCTTTTCCCACTCTCTGATGATATGCCCACATTCCCACACACAACCTCACATGACTCGCACACGCTAGGGCAATATGCAATGCGGTACTCTGGGCTATTGTTGCTAATCCGCTCAATCTTGAACCAGTTTCTCACAGTTGAGGAACCAGGGTGTCCCGGTTGTCCGCCAATTGTAACGTACCTTCTCGTGCTTGGCGAAGATGATCCTTGTGATTCTTGAACTTGCCAAACTACAGGCATCTCCGAGAATCTAATGTTCACATCTGTCGACTCAAGGATAGTTTTTGCCCCAAATGATGACGGGATTACCACTTCGAGAAGCATCCTCCCAATGGCTCGCTCTTTGGGGAGTGAGACAATTCTTCCTTCCATTGAAGCTGATGCTGGAGAGAATGATACAGGCGTGCCAAAGTGCATTTCGGAACCATGTTGCCTCACAACTGATGAGCGAGACCTCTCTCTTCTATCGAGTGACACACCACCTCCACCACCTCGGATGGCTGAGACAATGTAGTAGGATTGTCCTGCTTGGATCTCATTGCCTTTTGTATCCAACACCGATTGGTGATGAGACTCATGAGATGATGCTTTGGCATCAGATTGGATAACTGATGATAGCACAATCAAGAGAGATGAAATCAAGAACGTAGTCCCCATAGCCGGAGTGAAGATATTGTTGGGTAACTCACTGGGTTACATAAAGGTTATCTGAGATTTGTTGAGATTGGAGAGAGGAAGAGAGGAACCCTCCCTTTTATAGCGAAGTTGTTTTCTTTTGTTGCAACAATCAGTTGAATTTCGTCCTAAAACAATGGAATTTTCATAGGAGAAAGTGTCAAATGGTACTAAAATCTCAATTATTGAAAGTTTTATTTTAAATAACAAAGCAAAATAAATTTATACATAATCATTGAAAACACATTTATCACAAAAAACAATAAATAATTACTGAAATACCATAATATTAATTTTAGTATATATAATTATACAATAAATATAGATTAAGAGTTTAAAATCATTATTAATAACTATTAATTTTTTTGAAAGTTATTTTCTCGTATTATTATTTGATATGAGTGAAATTAGTTATTTACAATATTATGCAAAATAATTAAATTATTATTAATTTCAATATTATGTTATAAATATTTTTCAACATTTTAGGTTTTCTTTTTTTAATTTATTACATAATTTCTTTATTTTAACTATTTAAAATCTAGTTATGTTAAATATTTTTCTATTTAAAATATTTAGTTATTTAAAT